ACACTTATATGGAAATACAATATTATGAATGTTTCTTACCTCTCAACCAACTGCAAAATAAGGTCTCTGGAATGAGGATTTCCACTTGATTTACTATTGACCATTGGCAAGAGCAAATGGGCCTACATGAAAAGCCCCACAACCAGGTCCCCTTGACAAGCGTATACAAAATCCAATCTTATTGAAGTTGATTGTTATCCTCCAGAAGATAGTAAATGTCTTGATTAGTTGATTAGTTACCTGTGTGATAGTCCACAATAGGACTGGAAGCTTATCTTCACCTTGATATTTAGAACCCTCTTGGATTATGGGAAGAAGGCTGATTAAAACATCAGGTTTTCGCCTTAGTGCCATTGCTAGAACCACAAATATGGCAACCTGTCATGATAATTGCAGAATGGTTGATCAATATGAAACATCAGTCAATGATTTAAGGAAAAGCTCAGTTGCTATGATATTAAGAAGCCGATTTAACTAAAGACTAGGGAAAAGATTTGATAAAAATAATGTTAAAAGAAAAGAAAGAACTAATACATAGTTTTCAAGTTCCTGAATCTTCTTTTGTAGCTCAGACCTCAATCTATGATTCTCTTCCACCTGTCAATAGAGAAATTATACAGAAAATCAATATTAGATGTATTATAATTAATTAATTAAATCACACACACCAAACTTCAAACGTACCCTTTCTCCCTTGACCAAAACTTATGGTGGTAGTCGCCGGCGGTAGGTCCTGAAGAAACAATGTTAAATGAGGTAGAAACCGGTAGTGAGTAACGCTAGTTCAATTTCTCCGAATATTTCTTTCTGGTGCATCAGAGGGTTTCTCTTGAAAAACCCTAAATCCCACCCTCTTTGGTGAGAGACGGAAAAAAACAAAAAAAAAACTGGTATATTTCTTGTGCGAAGTAAGGTTTATGGTCAGCAGCAGTGGATGGATGTAAGGGGTTCAAGAGTTGAACAGTAGTACGCATCGACCTCATATAACTGTTGGATTGAAGGGCCGGCTCCAAGCGTTAATCGAATGGAGACAACGAACACTGTGGTTGGTCCTAGGGTTCTTCAGCTAAAGAAGGAGGAGACCGACTGTGGATTGACGGTGAGATGAAGAAATGGAGGATTGGAACGATAAGCATAACCCGTAAATATGTTGTGCGAATAAGAAAGATCTAGAGACCAGTTAGAACGACTATCTGAGTGGAGGCAGAGAGATGAGGCGGTGGGATCCAAAAAGCGGAAGGCGAAGGAAGAGTGAAGAAGAAAGAAGTGAGAATAAAAGCCGGTGGAGTCAAAGGCGGTGGAGAAGAATTGATAAAGAGGGTGGAAGAGTTGGGGTTTTTTTTGTAAGAAGGAAAACTTCAGTGGCAGAAGAAGAAAGAGAAAGAAGTATACTGTTCCCCAACTTTTTAAGCTTTTATGTTATATATAATAACAACAAATTGTTCATGATTAAATATTTATGACAAAAATATTGTTTTGTTATTAATTATTAATATAAAGAGCCATTAGTATTTAGTAGAAGTGAAGAACCATATATTTGATTTACGACTTGCTCTTCGATCATTGTATTATAGTATAATTATATATGTTAATAATTACATATTAGTATATCATTTGATATTCATGTATTTTCTAATACGATCCATCGCAATCAAATAAAATTTACATTGCTTATTATGTCTCAAAATCCCCTATAAATTAAATTAAATTATCAACACAAACTTCTTAATTGAAAAGTGATTTGTACACAACAGTTTTTATCTGCACATATTATAAATACATAATTGAAGATGTTAATTATTTATCCGGGGTGACAAGCGACAACAACCACCAAAATTCCATTCAATTATGACAAGAAAGTGAACGTTTGATTCATGAAACATTTGTGGACACAAACTTTTATTTTACTTCATAATACATAATTAATTAATGCATATAGATATTTAAAAAAACAAACATTAGGTATTCAGTTTTCAAAACGATTCGAACTACAGTGCATAGGCCTTGATATCAGAATCTTGTTCTAATTCTTTCATCCTTTTTTCATCTAAATGAACCCATGCTTCGACACCATCACCCTTGTGATCATCCAGCATGATCACCAAGTTCTGGACTGGCAAGCTACCGGTGCTTGACCAAATCGGCTTACCATAACCAAAATCAGCTTCATAGAATGAAAACTTACACCAACAAGTGAACAAGTAGAAGTTCACTTCACTGTCATCTATGTTTTTATTTGACTCCAAATAGGGATTGATTATGACGTCATATCCTTCTTCACCATTTGTGAGTATTTTACCACAATCTTTAGCTGTTTTCTTAACCGAGTTACACAAAATCTTGAAGAAATCTTGAAACTCGATTTTGTCACCTTCACCAGGCCCGAGTTTGGAAGCTGCCAGTCCCCAATAATTCCCAAATGAGTTTGTAGGTAACTGTGGGTCTATTTTATCCCTCAGTCCAACTGGTTGGATGAGAAAAGATGCCTTAGATTGGCCGTTATTTGCTTCATCCATACGTACTAAGGCCTTCCATAATAACGCAACAACAAGTTGGACCTTTGATGGTTTACGAGACCCATTTCTATCGAATCCGATCTTTTCTCTCATGTCTTGTATCGCCTCTCCTTTAAAATGAAACCTTCGCACCTTATTCTTCACACCAACGCTTGACCTAGGCACTCTCAGGTCAAGTTCTGGTAAACCTCGTTTTGGGAAGTAAAGAGTCGAGTTGAATATGGGGGTGTATTTTCCAGATTCATAATCGCCTTTGCTTCTAGTAGCCCAGTTGTTAATGAAGTTGCACATAGTTCCCATATCTGAGAGCCTATGTGGAAAGCACATACCGATAACCAAACCACCACACTCGAAGGTGGTGACTTTGACAGATAGCATGGGATCATCAACTTCATCAGCCTCTCCAATCTCACATGGGAGGAAATTATTTACTATATTTGATTTTAATCCCCTTTCGGGTTCTAAAATCTCTGAGAGTCTGAGATTCGCTTTGCCTTGGACATAACGAATACCTTGATCGTTACAATCAATTAAGGAAAGCTTACGAATATATCTCCCCGCCAAGGGATAAAAATCACTTAAGGTTTTTGATATGGAATCCTTCAAGTGGTCACCGATGTTTTCAAACTGATTGTTCACTCCCTTAGCTGGCGGAGGGTAGTACAGAATGAGAGGGACGTTTATTGTCGGGGCTAGTTCATCAGTGAAAGAAATATTGTGGAAACGATGGATTTTAGTAGTTGGTGTGGAGGGTTTCACGAGCTTCGATGAGTAGGTTATGACCTCCATTTCTGAAGTATAAGTTTTCGATCACCATAGTCCACCTTTATAGAGAAGTTGGTTTTTAATGTGACGTAAAATTAATTCATAATATATGATGTCTCTCTCTCTCTCTCTCTCTCTCTCTCTCTCTCTCTCTCTCTCTCTCTCTCTCTCTCTCTCTCTCT